GCATGGAACAGCTCCTTCAATTTCCACGCATTTTCATCCGGCGTCTCCGCGCTTTGTCCCGTGCATACCGTCTCCTCGTCGTATAGGGCCTTTGGCAACCGGGGTTCCCTTCCTTGCACCACGAACGCCGGTGAATATCCTGTTGTATCTGACACTACCGAATTCATCTTGTAATATCTTGCCGCCACCCGTGCCGCAGTTCTCCTTCCGCCGGCGTGGCCTGCTTCCGGGTTATCGTGGCTTTTCTTTAAAACCCTTTCCCGGGCATCTTTCGGCACCTCCACGAGACGACCTCTTCGCTCCCTGCCCGGTGGGAAATGTGCCGATACAAGTTTCCCCCGTCTCCACATAGTCGGGGTACTTTTGGGATTCCTTTCTGATTTTTTCTATCATGCCCTCTAACCACTTGCAGGGCGTTGGGTTCTCTCCTCATGTCCTATCCGGCGGTTTCGTTTCTCCAGCGGTTGTCTGGAGAGTGCGTCGGCTACCACATTGAGCTGCCCCTTCCTGTACGCAACTTCAAAGTCGTACTGTTGTAGCTCCAATGCCCATCTCGCCACTCTCCCCGACGGACTTTCTATACTATTTAGCCACTTCAGAGCCATGTGGTCCGTGAACACCTTGAAGTGGTATCCTTCCAAGTATTGCCTCAATCGGCGGATGGCTCATACAATGGCCAGACATTGTTTTTCGGTCGCCGAATAGTTTCTTTCGGGTCCGTTTAGCGTCCTGCTAGCAAACGATCTCACCCGTTATTTGTTGGCGGTTTCAGTTCGGCTATGGCTGTGACTTTCACGGGGTCTGTACATATCCCCTCGCCGGTCACCTTGTGGCCCAGATACCGCAGCTCTTTTCTAAAGAACTCGTACTTGTCTGCGTTCAGCCGCAGGTTAGTCATGCGCAGCCGTCGCAACACCTCTTTCAGGTTTCTTCGGTGTTCTTCCTCCGTTCGCCCGATGACCACTATGTCATCCTGGTACGCGAACGCGTGCGGCATCATTTCTGGACCGATCACTTGGTCTAGAGCCCGTTGAAATGTGGTCGACGCGGAGTGTAACGGCATCACCTTCCATCATTGGTATAACCGCTTTCCGGGCACCGCGAACGCCGTGATCGGCCGGCTGCTCTCTGCCAGGATCTGCCAATATCCATCCTTCAGATCCAGGCTACTGATGAATCTTGCCTCCCGCAGTTGATCGAGTATATAATAGATTCTTGGCATTGGATACGTGTCCTTTATGGATTTCGCGTTTACGTGACGAAAGTCCACGCACAGTCTCCACTTGCCATTCTTCTTCTTCACCATCACTATTGGCGACCTGTAGGGGCTCCTTGACGGCTCTATTCATCCCATTTTTAATAGTTCGTCCACTTTCTGGTTAATCTCGGCCTACATTTTGGGTTCTTCGGGTAGTATCTTTGCTTAATCGGTTGCGGATTACTCATGGGGATTGTGTGCACCGCCACATTAGACACCCCCTCGATTTTGGAAAAGCCTCCAATTCTCGGGCTAGGAATTCCTCCACTGGCTCTTCCCTCGCCCCCTCATCTTGCCTCATGCCCGCGGACACCTCTCTGGCGGCCACTCCTAGGGTCGTTTCCGTTTTCTTGTCGGACTCTGGAGCCGTGTCCCCAGCTTCGGCCTTCGCCACGGACAGTCTTTCTGATCTTCTCGTTCCCGATCTTGGGCAGTGATCACCACCCTGTGCCCTGCACAGGTCACCACTGCCCCGACCGCGCGGAATAAATCCCATCCTAAAACTAACTCATCTGTCACACCCGGCAATACGAGTAATACCATTGGGATCTCCTTGTTCCAAAAGCATACTGTCTTCCGGCATCACTGCCACGCCGAGATGCCCACTTCTCCGCATCTCCAGCAATAGGGGAGGGGTCGGGCGGTTCACTCCCGTCTCCAATGTTCCGCGCTCCCACACCTCCGGCATGCTAGGGCCGGATTCTTGACATATCCATTCTCGATATTGCCGTTTGTTGGTGTCGGCATAGGGACACGCGCTCTCCCCTCCTCTCCTGCTGCTTCGTCCATCGGGCCGTCTTTGCTCCGTCGACATGTCGTCGTCTCGGCCGGTTTGTGGAAGGGATTCGCTGCCCGGGCTTTAACGGTTGGATTTTCCCGTTGGAACGCTAGGCGCTCCCTTTCCAACGCCTCGAACTCGTCTGCCAATTTCATCATGGTGTCGAGATCCCTGCACCTGTGTGGCCTCATATACGCTCTCCGGATCAGCTCCGTTTGCTCCTCCTGGGGACATTTCAGGGGTCGCATAAGTTTCTGCATTTCCACCATATATTCTTTGAAGGGCTCGCCCCATTCATTCTTACTTCCGCGCGGTAGAAAGTAAGTCTGGAAGCTGGTCGAGAAGTCTTTCCACGTTCTCCACTGTCGGTTGTTCGCCACAAACCACATCAGCGCCCGCCCCTTTAGCAGCTCTGGCATCGCCCTTGGGATTAGATCAGGAACCAGACCGTACGTCTCGGCCTGCTCCAAGAACTCGAGAGGCTTCGTCGTCCCGTCGAAACGGAACGACCACTCTCTCCCCTGTTTCGCCACTCTGCCGTAGTCCAGGTGCGACGCCCGTACGGTGGCTGGTTCGGTCCTCCCCCTTTCGGCCTCTCGGCTTCGATCCCTCCCTGAGTGGCGGGACCTGCTAGGAGTCCGAGCGAGTCCGAGTGTGAGAGCGTTCCGGTACCGGCACTGACAGACTCGCGATCAATTATCGTTGTATTTCGACCGGGGACCTCCACAGCGCCGCAGCGGCTGCGCCGGGTGGGGGTGCCAGGTGTTCGTACGCGGCCTGTTTGTCGTCCGCACGGGGTATCGGCGAGGACCTGTCCGCCCGAAACTCCAATAGCTCAATCAGGTCAGCCCACTGACTCATCCTCGTGTTCCCTCATCCACTTCTGAACGTTCTTCTCATCTCTCCCAATGTGCCCTCCCGCCGCACGTCGAAGGTGCGGTCCTCCTTTTTCAACCGGTGGATCCATTGTCCCTTTCCCATCCCCACGTCTATATCTCTCCTCCCTTTGTTTTACTATTCGTCGTTGTAGGCCACACGTTGGGCGCCAGTTGTAACGGACCTACTTTTTAGGCCGCTTTAGTTCGCTGGGCTCGCTCAGCGGTCAGCAACGCCCCCAACGACAAATAATAAAGCCTTTCTCTTCGGTAATCTAATTATGTTTTATTCGTACGGCGTTATATTAGGACTCAGTTCTAGATATGTCAATGGTTCTTAGCTACGGATCTCCACCACGCGCGGGGCTCTCGTCGAGTGTGACAGCGTTGATGGTATTGATTGGGGAAGTTGACCTCAGCGATCGCTTTGGCCCGCCACTCAAATCCGCTGTGTACGTCTCGCACTCCCCTCCTAGATTCCGACGGTGGATGTGGATCACCACTTAACTTAGACTCACTCTGGGGGCAGGCGTTTCTCTGCTTCTGTATGCACTTCACTACACTCTTCGAACCGTACCGGGTATCACTTCTACGTTTTAGCGGGGTTCAATTTGCGCGCGCGACCACTCATCTGCGAAAGATCCCGCTCCGTCGCCGCAGCCTCCTTTTATAACCCCGCCTCGGCGTTGGTAACATTGCCGTCTTCTGGTTTCCACAGCATCCACAGCCGGGCCGGCAGCGTGATCCCATGACCTTATTTGGTCATGCATCGGACCACTGCCGGCCCGATCCCGCCGTCTCCTCTGCTCTCTCCTCTCCTCTCTGGGGGTCCATGGCCCCTTCGCCGCATCCGGATATCCGCGGGTATCCGGACTGACGTTCGCCTTATACGGCCAGCCATCAGCCTTATCCGGCCGTTCCTCAGCCTTATCCGGCTGTGCTTCGGTCGAATTCGGCCTGTGGGAACCGCGGTTCCTCACAATCCCTATCAAGAGTTATGGGGTCTGCTACTTGTACGTTACCAAAAACGTTGTTGAAGAATTTCGAATGTGACACAAACTTTCTCAATTCGAATCCTCCTTTTTGTGAATGTCAACTATCTCCTTCATAACTCTTACAGCCGTTTCTTCGGATGAAAAACAATGAACCAAATCATAATGGCATTTATATTTTTCCCGTATTGAACAAGGCCGGCGAACATTTGGCTCCAAAGGTCATGACCTGCATTTCATACTCATTCATCTAGTTGCCTGGATTCTTCCTCCATCTATCCTCCTTTCGAATTATGACTTGGGGGAACATTTCTGCTATATCAGCGCAGACTCCAATCGGTTACTGTCATCAGGAATGAGGTACAGGGACTCTTGTGCACCAACCAGCATGCCTACTCGTAAATTTCATGTGTGTCATTCTAGTACAGATTATACATGTAAATGTCATGTGTGTCATTCTAGTACAGATTATTCATGTACAAAATTTCAATTTTCTATGAGGCTTGCTCACAAAAAATCGACTGTTTTCCTTGCTGGGTTAAAGGCAATATGGCTAAACAAATCTTGTCCGATTCTTACGCGTATTTGCACAATTGGTATATTAAGCATTCGAGGTAGCGAATTCCTGTTCACTCATTGACGGTATCCTCCACAGCTTTATGCGATTGTATTACAAAATTATTGGATCGATACTTTTTGAACGCCTACTGAGTTGGCTTACAATTTTTCTTACCTATTTTCTGATTTGGTAAGTTGAGCAGTAGTTGAATGAAGATTCTTTTAAGCTACTGACATGATCCCCGGCAGTTGTACAGGCGTATGGAGCAATCTTAAGCGATGCCAAAATTATTTTGGATATTTCTGTTGTTGGTAAGTTAATAAGTAGAGGAATGCAAATCCTCTTGGGCACTGACATGATTCCTGACAGTTCTACAAGCGTCTGCAGTCCTCTGATGCTATCATGCTCTACCGCCTTGCTAAACTTGCTTTCAAATTCTTTCTGTTATTTCCGCATTTGATAAGATCGGAAGTAGATTTTGAAAATACTTTCAAATAATATACGGCAACCTCCACAGGTTTATGTACCACTGGACTGCCTTCTGGTCCAGGCGTGTGGTGCGTCGCTACCTTTACCAGAGCGACCTCGCTGTCTGGCAGAAAATCTACGGGATGCCGGATACCGGTCAAGTCGTCTTATTTAATGGTTGGCACAAGTCAAGCAGGGTCGTGTGCGACGTCTGTCGGATGAATCGCGTGGGTCAATTGATTGACCAGGCAAAAGTATGCCTGGATATGGTGCTACTGTCTACCGCCAATGTCAAGTACATTGACCGCATATTGGCTGCACATATTCGGGGTGTCACCGTGCGCGTTCTCGCCAGCGACAAAATGCTCGCGGCTAATGGGCCAGCAATGAAGCTACTCTGCGCCTTGAGTGTGCAGGTGCTCTGCTACTCAATCGGAGTAATATTCGGGTACAATTTTGCTATAATAGACAGTGAAAAGCGATCCCTGGAGATAGAGGCCAAGCAGGATACGGTCCACACGAGTCTTTGGCGACTAAGGGGTAACATGAAAGGGTGTCTAAACTGGATCCTACTGGCCGCGTTGCAGAAAAGTGATTATAGGAATGACAATCGCCACTACCAAAAATTTTTTGATGAATGGAACTTCTTATATTCTGTCACACCGTCCTACTTCATAGCATATAATTTGCGTTCACCGCAGCATAAAGCATAGATCAATTGGTTAGTTAGTTATGTTTTCATCTCCGCTTCAACCGTTATATAAATATACAACGTAACCCACCTGCTTTTCCTTCTGTGACGACTGCTAGGAGTGAAGCTGGAATAGTCGTTGGATAATTGAGCCCTCGATCCGTCCACCAACAATAAAAGGAATAAAAGGAGAATTCCACCCCAGCAAGCACCGGTGGATAATTCCCAATTTCCAAGATAAGTACGGATTCCCCATCTGCCCATCTTCAGCGCCTCCTCACCTCCTGGTCCCAGTCGGCCATACATATATATACGTGCCGCTTCTTTCCTTTCACCGTTCTATCGACGGATCCATATTATCGGCAATTCCTGGCGTTCTCCGCTTACTCGAATTTTATCCGCCGACTCTTACGTATACCCAGCACCCGTATACACATACACATCAGCATATTATCGGTGAATAACAAGAATTTATTTTGTAGATATATTTGGAAAAAAGATATGTTTTCCTATTAGTGAAGTGCAAGTGCTGACAAAACCTATGTTGCAGGGCTGATGCAGGGCTGTTGCCATGGCTGATCGCAAATGCTCCAGCATCCGACATCTCGCTTCCAAAAATGAGGGCATGTTTTACCAAGGTTGCCAAGGTCTGAAAAGCACGCAAGTGTCGCTGAGCGCGTGCAAGCCGATAGCCGAACCCTTCTCCAGCCCTTGCAGCCCGAAAATAGCCTTAAGGTAACGTCTTGTCGTAATTTTGAAAATATTGAAAATTCTCGATGATTGGGATACGATGGTCTTTGCGCACCATTGACGAGAACATCGAGTTGAATTCTGGCCAATCCATGTAGGTTCCACCAAATCGAGGAAGCTGCAACTCGGGCATTCGAGAACGGCCCCCAATATCATATGCGAACAAAGACGAATTCTCCTCGAGACTATGGCGAGCCGTTGAATGAGCGGTATTAACCGTGCGAGCAGCCATCAACTCCCGCGACAGTGATATAAACTTTATTGCGCGAACTCCAAATTGCAAGTGTAGCTTGCCTGCCATTGCAGCTCCGATCGCTAAGTGCAGCTTCGCTCGGCAGACGTGGGTAGGCCGACACAAAGCGGAGATGACAAAGAGCGAGCTTGCAGAGAACGCTTAGCAGGGCAAGCAAGCGCAAAGCTTTAACAACCATTTGAGTTACATAGGCATTAGTAATAAATATAATAAGCGGCTGAGGGCCAATAATTGCTGCATCACTTCTTTTCCACTCACGTTTTCTTTTCAAAAGGAACTGATCTCGTGCTGCCCATGCCTTATAAGTGCTCGTGCCGGTGCTCACCGTTCCATGTAACGGTGCTTTAAATGGGCCCTGAAAATTTAGAATAGTTTTTTTTAAAATAAAGAGACCGAAAAACTTGGGTGACTGCAAATTTGTATTTTACTACGACGAAAAAAAAGGAGTGCGTGCGTTCGTTTTCATAGATTTTTCTCGACTTCTCTTCATACATTCAAACAATTTCTTCTGCGCCTATCTTACCTACGGTGGCAAAGCTGGGCGAATTCGCCAAGAGCGAGAGAGCGAGCTTTTATTGCGCTCCCGCTTTGCCCATGCCAAACTTACACTAGACTTCATAAAATACGATCTTAATAACAATTATTATACGCCAAATGGCGCTACACCGGCCCCGTTGAAGGCCTGAAAGGCTTCAAACCAGTGGCAGAAGCGCCAACTTGTGGATTGGCCTCCTGTACGTGGCTCCGCTGCTCGTCCTTAGGTCGACCACTCTGACCCTTCCGTCCTGCCCGGCGGTTGTTTCGACCACCCTTCCGAGGAGCCACTGTTGAGGGGGCAGGTTGTCCTCGGCGACGATTACGAGGTCGCCTTTCTTGATGTTTGGTTCCTCCTGGTGCCACTTTCATCTTATTTGCAATCCCAGCACATACTCCCGGGACCATCGCTGCCAGAACATTTGCCTGGCTGACGAGACAAGCCGCCATCGCTTTAAGCAGCTCAGACCCTACTGGTCCGGGGTCCTGGGTGCTGGGGGTGCTATGAGCGGCCCGCCTGTCAGCAGGTGCCCGGGAGTCAGCGCGTCTCCGTCGCTTGGGTCTGGGCTTAGGGGTCCTAGCGGGCGCGAGTTGAGCGCTTCCGACTGCCCGTAGGAGTAGGCCCTTGGCAGACTTCACACCGGCCTCCCAAAGTCCGGCCATGTGCGGTGCTCGAGGCGGTATGAAGGCGAACTCGCACCCGCTTCTTGACACAAATTCGCGTCTGCTTCCGCTTCTATTTTCTTCCGCAGTTCGCTGAAGTGGCGACTTGCTCCGACGAAATTTGTCGCGTTGTCGCAGTTCACGCGTTGCGGACATCCTCGACGACCGACGAACCTTTGGAATGCCAACAAGAAGGAATTAGTCGTCAAATCGGAGACAATTTCTAAATGAACCGCCTTGGACGCAAAACAGACAAATAACGCTATGCAGGACTTATAAGGGGGCCTTCCACGAATTTTCAGACTCGTATAGACTGGGCCACAAAAATCAACGCCACATACTGAAAATGGGCCGAGAGCATGGAGCCGGTCTGCGGGTAAGTTGCCCATCATTTGGGTCTGGAGTAGAGGCTTGCATTTAAAGCAACGAATACACGAGCTAACTGTCGCCCTGCAGACCGCCTGAGCATTCACTATCCAAATGAGCTGTCTAAGGATACTCACGAGTGCTCGTGGGCCGGCATGAAAATTCGTTTGATGCAGATAGCGAACGTATGTCTGCACAAACTGCGAGCGTTTTGTCAATAAAAAAGTGAATCTTGGCATTATATGACATAGGAGCGTTAACTAGTCGCCCCCCAACTCGCTACAACGAAAAAGAGCACCAAGTCCCAGCCTCTTTATGGATGAAGGGATTCAAACGCTGAAGACTGGGGCCTATTTGAATTGGATTCACCAATACCAAGCAAGTTGATACACGACTCCTCCCTACGGATCTGTAAGCGCTGTGCTAAGTCCTCAGTTATAAAATTGGTTTGAGACCCCGAGTCAAGCAGAGCTCGGGCCAAAACATGTTCACCATTATTTGTTCGGACGCTTACGATCGACGTAGCCAGAATAACTCTATCCATAGCTGTCGCATGGAGAGCATGCGAAGTGGAAGGTTGATTCTGATTGGGAGGAGGAGAAGAATTCTCTGGGGGTGATGGTAACGCCAGACTTTTATTCGCCACTGTGTACCTATGCAATAAGTTATGGTGTGAGCAGCCACACACTCGACACTTTTTAGCTTTGCATCGTAATACAGAGTGGCCTGGCTGCAGACAATTGATGCACAAGGATGCAGTTTTTGCGAATTCGAACCTTTGCATTACTGCCAGCCGACCAAATGGACTGCAATCTGTCAACAAATGGCCTTTCGCATTGCAGTAGTTGCATTGTTGGTTTTTGGTATTCGCGGTGGAACACGCGAATGAGCTCCGATTATGCGGCTTGCTTGGCACAGCTTTCTGCTCCTGCTTTGGTTTGTCCGAATTTTCGGCCGAAAGATGCTGATGTCTGCGATTAAGCAATTTTTCACAGTCCGTCCAAAACGGCAGTTTGTCATAATCGAGCTGTTCTTCCCATTTCTCTTTGGTCACCGGATCGACTCTGCTCAAGACGAGATGAATAATCATCGCATTCGAGATCTTTTTATCATCGCCTATCGACAACAACGAACCATATATGGATGAGGCGGTATCGATAAGGTTCCTTAAGGACGATGCTGATTGCTGGGTCATTTTGGGAAGATTAAATAGGGCATCAATGTGATTTTTAAAGATCAGACAATCATTATCGTAGAACCGTTTTAAGCTAGCCATTGCTTTCTCGTAGTTGGTCTCGGTTACTTGGAAAGCCCTAAATGTTCCCAACGCTTCACCGGAGAGACACGAAAGCAAATGGTTGAACTTTTCGATAATTGGAATGCTTTGGTCATTGTGAACTAGAGTCTCAAATAAACCTATGAAGTTTTTTAAGTCCGAAAAGTTGCCGCTGAACTGCGGCAGAGCTAACTTCGGAAGGCGAGCACGAGTTGGGCCACCATAAGCTGGTACTGCCGGTATTGTCTCATCAGTTGTCTTTAATGCGCAAATGAGAGACATTAATTTTGCCTTTGTGACAATTGAGAGTTCTTCCAACTCGACTCCAAATTCATCGTCATGTCTATATGTTCAATCTTCTCTTGAAGTTCGCGTGCCGTGTCAATGCTACGCATCAGAGTTTCGAGTCTGCACTCGAGCTCCGTCAATACCAGCGGAATATCCCCCGCTTCTAAACGGTCCGCTAATAAACGAATGCATTTGACACGGCAACTGCGCTTTTTCTTCAGCTCTTCAAGGGCGATATTGTTGGCTTTTGAGGTCATATTGATTCTCAATACAAGCAACTGAAGGCGAAAGATCGTTTCTAATAATCGTATTTAATGCCGAGGCACTCAATGAAATAATGGGTGCAGATAGCGAACGTATGTCTGCACAAACTGCGAGCGTTTTGTCAATAAAAAGGGAATCTTGGCATTATATGACATTGGAGCGTTAACTAGTCGCCCCCCAACTCGCTACAACGAAAAAGAGCACCAAGTCCCAGCCTCTTCATGGATGAAGGGATTCAAACGCTGAAGACTGGGGCCTAACTTCGTGCCTTTACGAACCCTTTCAATTAGTTCTTGAGACTCATATTTCTGTGTTATTTCGACTATTTTTAGAAACGCCTCGTCGTATTCTACGGATGACTAATTTTTCCAAAGTTGAGACTTTTGTCTTTGCATTTTCGGATGAAGCGGAACACGAAAACGAACACTCTTAGCAGTTTGAGGTGTGACGAGTATCCCTCGATTACATCCACTAAATAATTTGGCTTGGCCGCGACGGTCAGTCCGACCGATTTCTTCCGACTTTCCATCTGTAGCTCTTCTTCGGAAAGCTCGAAGTGTGGATTTCTGGGCCAACTCTCTTCTTCAAACTTTAAGAACTCTGGTCCACCAAACCAGATCGACTGCACGATTTCCTCTACGTCACAACCTCTCGAAACTATGTCTGCTGGGTTCCGCCATGCCGCCACGTAGCTTCACTTGACCACTCTTGAATCTCCGCTACTCGGTTCGCAACGAATGTTGACAACGACGAAGGGTGGGATCTGATCCAATGAAGAGTAACTTCTGAATCTGACCAGTATATCATTTTCTCAATTGGAACCTTGAGCAGTGATTTGATTCGGTGACAAAGGTCTGCGAGAAGATGAGCGGCTGGACATACATATATATACGTGCCACTTCTTTCCTTTCACCGTTCTATCGACGGATCCATATTATCGGCAATTCCTGGCGTTCTCCGCTTACTCGAATTTTATCCGCCGACTCTTACGTATACCCAGCACCCGTATACACATACACATCAGCATATTATCGGTGAATAACAAGAATTTATTTTGTAGATATATTTGGAAGA